ATATTACGAAATACATCTATTTTTTGTCATCTGTTATTATTATTTTGCAAAAAAAACAAAACCATCGAAATGTATCAGTCAAACATTTAAAATAAAAAGAAACTGATACGCGTTTAGTCTTGATGAAATTTATAATATATGTCTTTTCAAAATCGTAATTCAATCTTATTCATAAAGGAAAAAACACGACAAAATCCTATTAGCATTATGTCAAAAATAAAAGAATACATATGTCATTGATTTACCAAACTTCTGTCTCATCTTATTTATAAAATACTGATTAGTATTTCACTTTTGATTAAGAACTGTTCTGAAATTGACGAAGGAAAAAAGTATAACATACTTTTATATTATATGATACATCCATTTTCTATTGTCTGCATGTCATCCTTGATTAAATCATATTCTATGAAAAATTCATGCACTGATTACAACGAATGTACATATTTATAATTCACAAATAATCCAAATTTCTCTAGAAAAAGTATTTTAACCATTTCAAAATTTATTCAGAGAGCCAAATAAGACGAATGAGTGTTTTTTTAGGTAAGTTTTGAAGGAAATGGCAAAGGAAGGCAAAGACGCGCTAAACCATAGGCAAAAAGATTTTTTGAATTGCTCCTTTAAGAGTGATTCTTTATCAAAAACCAACAAAAATAAAGATTGTTCTGATTAGGGGTGTTGCTTTATCTTTATTTTACTTTATAATAAAGAATAGAGTAAAGAAAGTTTTTATCTTTATAAAGAATAAAGATTTTTTTCTGTTAAAACGAACTCTTTTTATTTTCTTAGAGTAGCTCACAAAAAATTATGATATTATATAGTTAACTATAATATGGAATAGCATTTTTCGTATATATCATTTCGTATGTAATCCTTTTTTTGATGATGATTATGATAAGAAAGAGCATTAATAAACGTACTCTATTGTTATACAAGGTATTTGCATATGTGCTTATTGCATAAAAAAATTTATCTTTATTCTTTATTTTAGCAAATAAAGATTATCTCTTGATTTTTAAAATAAAGATAAAGTGACACCCCTAGTTCTGATTCTTCCCCTGGAAAAATAGCGTGACAACTTACACTTCAATGATTAGAGCATCTCACTAGTTATATCACGGAATAGAATCTCTACGGAATTCTGTGGTTTTGGATTAGTGGTTCTAGCGTTCTTGTGGTTAAAAAATTCATTTTGCAACTACAGGTGGCATAGTGTTTTTTTTTGTAGAAAATTTACATCAACTCCTAAGGAAGCAGTTCGAAAACTCTTTTTGTATATGATTGCACGCGTCTTCATTTCCTCTCTGCAATGATGATTTTTTAAATGAATACTAGAAACCAGATTTTTGTTCTGAAATAAAGTATTTTTTCGACTCTATCCATTACAAAAGGAGTTAGTTTGAAAATTGTGCGTTATAAGTGCAGAGATTTTATTTCATAAATTATATGTTATACTATTACGTCCTACCTTCCATATTCGTCCTTAGAAAAAATTTGCGAGGTCTATTAATAATTATATTATATCGGTCGTTATTTATATTTAATTAATTCTCGAAAATATTGAATCAAATTTCAATACTCTAATTCTTACTATTGTCTTTTTTTTGCAGATTTTGAGGTTATAGAGCTCATATAACAACATTATTATCATCACGATTTTATATATAATGAACGATAGATAACGAGTTCAAAACATATTTAATTATATTTCGATGAATATGTATATCATATATTGATATGTATCAGATAATTTTGTTGGCATCGATTCATAAGAACCGTATTTAGTGAGATCTTTAACAAGTATAATTATTTCCTGTTTTTAATTATAGATCAATGTAATGCAATAGAAATTAATTACAAATAACTTTTCTACTCATGTTTGTCTTTGTTTTTATAATGATTCGAAATATTAAACTTAGTCGACAATGTGTTAATATACAATTTCCTGTAAATTAAATCTTTATCAATCAATAAACCATGCGAGCTAATTGGTTTTCGTGACTATGAAATATTAATTATGATACTTGTTCAATTAACTGTGTATGTTATTACATGTTTACCGTTTCCAATCTATTTAGTTTATTCTACAATTACAATTCAAATGACTAAATCAAATGTTCAATTAGCTCTCGATAAACAATTAATTAAAATATATTTTGTATTGAAAAATAGTCAAATTTAGTACTGAATAAACAAATGAAAAAAAAAAATCAATCATAGTGAGTACTTCAAGTTTTTTTTATTGAGAATCGTTAAGCAAATATATGTATACTGTGCTTTACTTCAATATGCTTTTTATTTCGAAAAACTACAGATGTCGTACAGTTTGGGTCTATCTATTTCCCAATAAGTACAAACGATAGAACAAAACACGGGCAGTTACAGTCACCATAGTAGTTAAGACACGACTTGGTAAAAAATGCACCAATCGAATAAAGGGTTATATTAAAAAATATGTTATTGCCAAATTAAATATTATGCACATATAACTATTCTTTCAATTGATCATTATATGTAAGAATATTTTCTTTTACAGAATGAACTCTTTCGTGCCATGAAAATAAATGACAGATTTCTTTAAAAATTATTATTAAAAATTAAAATTGCATTTTCTAAACTAATCATTCACACAATAACAATATTTTCACCGTTTATATGAATCATAAAAAGAAAAACTATATTAATACGCTGTTAGATAAAGGTTTCATATAAATAATAACTTATTTTTCTTTTTGTTCATTCATTGTATACCATAGGTTGTGCTTCATTTGTTCTCTCTTATATGTATTCTTTCTATACATACACTTTATTGATATTTGTTTTCGCTTTTTTTTTCATATCCATAGCAACCGCGGTCACAATCGAGCGCAGTTCATTCTTTTTATCGAACAATTGACCTCGCAATAAGATAAACTTTGCAATAGTTATTGCATTTATTCATGTGAGTTTATCATTGAATGATTAATGTCATTTTTCGTAGCATGTTTCTGTCATTCTCATATATCTTTTTTAGCTCGATCATTAATTGTTCTATCATTTTCTCAAAGACTTAGTCAATACAATATGATACATAGACCAGCATATATTCCGTTACATGCTTTACGTGAAATTGATATAAAATCCATACTTAGTGTTGCTTTCCCATTTGAAATTGATAATGATGAAAATAAAAGGCGATATGATGAAATTAAAAGACAATATGATTATCATAATAGTCGTCGAACAATGCTTCATTTTTTATTATCAATGTATGAGACAAATAATCAACAATTAATAAAGTTAATCACTGAATGTAATTCAAAAAATTAATTATAATTCTATTAAAGAAATTTATGATGATTTAAAAACGAAACCTGAACCATATCAAGTCTACTATCAAGGCCAACCTCAAGTTCAACATCGTGCAGAAAATCCTAAAAAATATTGGGAAGAAAACTATGCATATAGACCAGGTCCGACAAAATCACAAAAATATATAGAAAAATATCGTAAAGACGGTTTTAAACCTGACGAACTGAAATTATATTGGAATTATCAAGAAATTGAAAGTTTACATAAAAAAGATTATTTCAATCCAACAACAGATACTGATACAAATAAAGCTCTTGAAGCCAAACCTGTTGATCAACGTAAAAATTCTGGAGCTGTAAAATTTTATCAATCAGGCATTGAAGACGCAGTTTTTGATGAAGAACTAGAAGATAAACAAATTATTGTTCTTGATTTTGCTGATGAACGTATGCCTGGTGGTTATTTTCTTGAAAATGCTCGAACACAAGAAGAAGTAAGTAGAATAGACAAAAAATGAATTTAACATTATTATTTACTTAATTATTAGGTTATTCTTTTTAATTCGGATGGATATCGCGCATTATTAGATTTAAAATATCAAACAATGGATGGAGGTTATATATTACCTCAATATGGATTAGCTTATATAAAACGAGTACGATTCTTTCAAGAAAACCCTGATCAAAAAGAAACTCTACAAGTGCGTCTTACAGATTTGATTGTTGCTGCTTGTAAGTAGTTTTCTTTTTATGACTAGTACCATAAAATAAAGTACTTTTTTATTCGTCCATTTGAGTTATTTCTATGATTTATAGACAGGAGAAGAGTAAAAAACGTATTCGTGTTTTTATGAAAACTAATAACTATTCAGAATATTTAATTTTGACATATATAGAATATTGAAAAAGTTACTTTATTAAATAGAAAATAGACTAGATAAGTAAATATCAAGTATCATTTTGAAACAGTTATCTTTGTTTGTATTTTGATAAATGTCAAAATATCGATAAAAATCAATAGATTTACTTTTATATTTTTTTTTTTGTTTCCGAACATCAAATACATTTCAGAGTTATATATTCATAACAAAGCTAAAAATGTTAACATGCAAAGAATCGGCATGCTACCTTAGTTTTAATATTGATGAATAATGATTGATAGTCATATTTCAACTAGATGAAAGAAATACTGCATACAGTTATCACTATACATAGAACTAAAAATTTATTTTTATAGTTTTTTTTTCTTAATTAGGTTATGATTTATCTGGTGCGGATGAAGGTTTATACAAACCACCATCACGTGAAGACCATGTTGATTTGTATAAACGAACAAAAGAAAAATTTCGAGCTATAGTAGCATCCGCTGTTGCTAATACTGAAGGAGATGGTAGTAATACATATTTATTATTGGGACCTATTGGTACTGGTGCATTTGGAAATGATGAACGTATGATAGCTGAAATATTTTGTGAAGTATTAAATGGACCATTAATGGGCTCAGAAAAAGTCCGAAATGCATTTGAGCAAATTTGGTTTGTATCTATTGATAGCCTTCATGTATTTGAGGAAGTATTTGGAGAAAAAGGCAAACATGATCCTTCGCCGAAACAATAATTTTGTAATAGATAGAAAAAAATCAAAGAAATATATATATTACGAAATACATCTATTTTTTGTCATCTGTTATTATTATTTTG